TAGCAATCGCTGATTGGCTCCTGTACGAGAATACGAACTTTATTCGCCTTATAGCGATCGCTGATTGGCTCCAGTATTAGAATACTAGCTTTGTTCGCCATATAGCTATCGCTGATTGGCTCCTGTACTAGAATACGGGCTTCATTCGCCATATTGACAATTACGCTTTTCGCCATTCAAAAAAATACAAGTAACACTTCTTGTGTATTCTATTGACCTCATTCTTCAATGCGGAACTCGTTTTTGCGATTGTTTTAGAACTTCCGATTCAGCTGCCTATGGGAGAAATGGAAATAATTAACGGCAGAAAACGGTCAAACTACTTGCTCTACAAACAAGTGTGTTTATGACTATACAGAGAAGCAGAATAATATAATAAGAAATTATCAGTTTGCAACATCGAGGAGCGTAACAAGCTATTTTTAATGTCTAAAAATGAATGGAAGTGAATGAGACCGGAAGTCTCAAGCCAAAAAAATTCAAATGGCTGTGCCCGCTCATACACGGAGAATAAGGTGAATAGTCTTTGTCTCAATGCTGGTCAGAAACAACACTTAAACTAGCAAGGCCAGCATTGAGATCAGCACTGAAACCAGCAAGACCAGCATTGAGATCAGCAAAATCAGCATTGAAACCAGCAAGACCAGCATACCAGCATTAAAACATACCTTACCAGCATATGCTGTTTTTTTTTAGCTAGGATTATACCTAAAGCCTTCCTGACAATATGGATAGCTATGTGATGATACACTGTTAGGGAAGTAATGCACATTTGAACACAATTCTTTTATTAGTAATTTTCTTTTTGGCTTTCCTTTTATTAATCAGGGGTCGCCACAGTAAAATGAACCGCCAACTTATCCAGCAAATGTTTTATTGCAGCAGATACACTACGGCCAATTTAGTTTATTCAATTCACCTATTGTGCATGTCTTTGGACTGTGGGGGAAATCGGAGCACCCAGAGAAAACCTATGCAAACATTCCACACAGAAATGCCAACTGACCGAGTTGGGGCTCGAATCAGCGACCTTCTTGCTGTGAGGCGATCGTGCTACCCACTGCACCACGCGAGGCTTCATTTGAACACAATACGAGATTTAAAATTTTCAAAAAAATGTAAATGAGAGCTAGTATTGTAGATACAAGAAAACTCAGTTTTAGTGTGTAAACAGTGGCCATAGCTTTAAAGCATATTGCTTTATGCCAGACATAGGAATTCCTTTTTTCTTGGGGTCACGACTCACCTTTTGAAATCTGACACTGATAAATGACCATATTTTCCTCTCTATTCTTTTAAACTGCACAGCTACACAAGATCAAGCTTGATGCTTCTTAAATTAGGAAAAAAATGTAAACCAACGCATGAAAACTGACATTAGCAGGTTGCGGATTTGAAAACCTTATACATTATTTCACAATATACTTACTAAACCAAGCCAAGTTCCATGTAAATAAAGCCACAGTGTCTCTCAGGGATCTTGATAAAAAAAAATCTCTTTCTCCATTTCTCGTTGGGGCCCTCGCTGAGTTAATCCAACGTTGCCCCCAAGTGTTCATTGAATGCAATGTTTGCTGGGGCCTCAAACACAAGAGCTGCGCAATAATTTATCGCTACCTGCTTGCAGAGAATTGAGTTCAGGTGCTGCACACTCTGTTATTGCGTCACATTCAATTTGTGCCGAGCCGAGCGCATTAATGGAGTCATAAGGCTGCAAAGACAATCCACCATGAGCTCCATATTGCCACATTCAGGGCAGGGTGAATTTATTGGGTTTTGATCTCAAGAGAAAGAAAGAAAGAAAGAAAGAAAGAAAGAAAGAAAGAAAGAAAGAAAGAAAGAAAGAAAGAAAGAAAGAAAGAAAGAAAGAAAGAAAGAAAGAAAGAAAGAAAGAAAGAAAGAAAGAAAGAAAGAAAAAGCAGGTTCACTAGGCAGGTTAGGGTAATTAGGCAAGCTATTGTATAATGATGGTTGGTTCTGTAGACTATTGGAAAAAAATATAGCCTAAAGGGGCTGATCATTTTGAATTTAAATGGTTTTTAAAAAAGTGGTAAACTGATTTTATTCTAGCCAAAATAAAACAAATAAAACTTTCTCCTGAAGAAAAATATTATCAATAATTCTGACTTCAACTATATATATATATATATATATATATATATATATATATATATATATATATATATATATATATATATATATGCAAGCTTTACATGTCTGTATGTGGTGGATGAAATGTGTGACAGTTGAACCCATATATATATAAGAAAGAAAGAAAGAAAGAAAGAAAGAAAGAAAGAAAGAAAGAAAGAAAGAAAGAAAGAAAGAAAGAAAGAAAGAAAGAAAGAAAGAAAGAAAGAAAAAGACTAAATTCTAGTCTGAGAAACTTTTTTATTTCATCTTATTTTGATTGGGTCTATATGTGAGATATAAAGAGATGAAGTGAAATTTAATTTGGTATATTAACATTAAGCATATTAATTAATATTTAATTAAATATAATTAATAGCATGCACACACACACACATATACAGATGTAATTGTACCAGAAAACAAAGCTTGATGAATTCTTTGTCATTAATAAAATAAAAAAGGTTTTCGTGTTTGATTTGTTTTAACCTGTTACAGATTTAAGAATAAATTATAGATTTTATAAATTAATTTACACTATTTACATTTTTATTCAATTGTTCAATATTTTTCAGTGGCCATATTAATTATATTCAGCAAGCCTTAGTATTTCTGGGGAAGTTGGAAAGTTCCATATAAAATCAGATCATTTGTACACTACACTTTAAAAAAATGCTGACTTGGAAAATAACCCAATCCTAACCCAGGTGCTGGATAACTATAGGACATACCACGCACCTAGGTTGTTTTGACCCAAGTGCCGGGTTTAGTCAGTTAGCTCCAGAATGCTGGGTTGTTTATATGACTTAACCGCTGGGTAAGGTTAACCAAGTTGCTGCGTTAAATGTGACTTACATATTGAGTCATTAATTGTCTCATCTCATTCTACCTTTTTTAGTTTTTTTGTTGTTATATTTACCAATATTATTTATAATAGTAAATGACAAATTAATGCATATATGAATTTTTGGTCCCGTGAATTAATAGTCCTCTGTTTATTTTTTTCCTCTATTTTTGTTTAGCGGAGAACATTTTTTCAACACATTTCTAAACATAATCATTTTAATTATTAATTTCTAGTAACTGATTGCTTTTATCTTTGCCATAATGACAGTAAATAATATGTTACTAGATATTTTTCAAGACACTTGTAAACAGCTTAAAGTGACATTTAAAGGCTTAACTAAGGTGAGGTAGGTAAGGTAAAACTTTATTGTCCCAGTTAGGGAAATTTGTCTTGGGCTCTTGCCCTCAGCTGCAGTTATCACAAACATGGAAAAAACAATACAACATACAAAAAACAAATTAGTATTTTTATAAAAGTTACATGCGTCTCTTCACATAAGCGAAAATAAGCAAAAACAGAAACTCTCAGTGTAAGCTACTACTGTTATTTAATAGCTTAATGCTCATAGGATAAAAGGAATTCTTATATCTGTTTAATCTACAGCAAGGTACTCTGAACCTTTTCCCAGAAGGTAACTTGGTTAACTAGGCTGATTAGGGTAATTAGACAAGCTATAATGATGGTTAGTTCTGTAGACTATTGGAAAAAATATAGCTTAAAGGGGCTAATAATTATGACCCTTTAAAAAATAAAACTGTTAAACTGCTTATATTCTAACCAAAATAAAACAGAAGAAAAAATATTATCAATAATTCTGACTTCATATATATACATATACAGTTATTAGCCCGACTTTGATTTTTTTTTCCTTTTTTAAAATATTTCCCAAATCTGTAGAAAGTTTTATTTGATTTATTTTGACTAGAATAAAATCAGTTTTTAATTTTTTAAAAGCCGTTTTAAAGTAAAAATTATCAGCCCCTTTAAGCTATAATTTTTTTCCGATAGTCTACAGAACAAACCGTCATTATACAATAACTTGCCTAATTACCCTAACCTTCCTAGTTAACCTAAATAACCTAGTTAAGCCTTTAAATGTCACTTTAAGCCGTAAAGAAGTGTCTTAAAAAATATCTATTCAAATATTATTTACTGTCATCATGGGAAAGATAAAATAAACCAGTTATTAGAAATGAGTTATTAAAACTATTGTTTAGAAATGTGTTGACAAAAACACATTTTTTTCTCCGTTAAACAAAAATTGGGGAAAAAATAAACAAGGGGGCTAATTAGTCAGGCCTGCGGTACAGGTGAATTGGGTAGGCTAAATTGTCTGTAGTGTATGAGTGTGTGTGTGAATGTGTGTGTGAATGTTTCCCAGAGATGGGTTGCAGCTGGAAGGGCATCCGCTGCGTAAAAACGTGCTGGATAAGTTGGTGGTTCATTCCGCTGTAGCGACCCCAGATTAATAAAGGGACTAAGCCGACAAGAAAATGAATGAATGAATGTATTTTATTTTTCATGTCTATGAATAATATAAATAATATGTTATTACTATATTTGTTTTTTTAAATAATGTTTTTGTGTTATTTAATATGCACAAAATAATAAAAATGATTTTGACCATATTATTTATTTATTTATATATTCATTTATATTGTAAGTTAGTTAACTATTTAGATAGATAGTCCTATTTTTATATTTTGAGCTGACAAGCTGATTTACACTTAGTAAGCCTATTATGCCTATTAACAGTATATCTTAATAAAGAGTATATTATCCAAATTTCCTCAATATTATAATAATTATTTGTGTTATGATTATTCTTATTAATATAATTAATAGTGGCAGTATTTTTATTATTGTTTATTATTATTATTATTATTATTATCATCATTATTTTTGTTATTATTATCATTGTTATTATAATTATGATCATCATTAATATTATTATTATTTTCTCTTTTTTTTTACATAGTGATGACGAGACCCCCTCATTTTGTTCGTTTGCTCAGCCTTTCGTAAGACACAAATTGGAAACGCTGTCATTAAGTTTGTCTCCTTCTACTCTCCGTAGATCACCGACATATTGTTTGTGAGGAGCAAAATCGAGTGTTAAGATTACAGCGTTGATAAAACCAGTCATCAAAGCGTATATAACTCAAGAAAGAACCATGGGTGAGTATCTCGTCAATACTGTCTTTTGACGTGTTCGTACTGTTACTCGCGGTGTTTTGGGATCAGATTTGTAGCCGAGAACCCAAGACAAGCTACATCATGTCATTTACAGCATGAGTGTAAAGGGCCAGTTAGCCTAGCACATTGCTGTACACGACCTGTATGTTTACCAGCGATTCCAAGAGCAAATGTTTTAAGTCATAACGCTTTTCGGACATGCTTTAGTGAGGTTTGGTTGAATTTGATTGACGTGGTTGTCAATTTTGAGTCTTTGCCAGTGGAAACGCTTGGTCATGTTAGACATGTTCTGTTCGAGGTTGTGAAATCGTTCGGGTTTTAGGTGGCAGCTAAAGAGGAAATGCTCAAACATTAAACATAGTGCTCTGTCATGGGTTATATAAATCTATTCTCGTTAATGTTGTCTATGTAGACAGCTGTCTGGGTTTAGACAGACTAAACAACATGTCCCTGGTGTCAGTGAGTGCACTAGTCAACTACACGTGATCAGCCACGATAGCTGATGGTTTCTGTTTCAAAACTACTCATGGGAGACTTTTATTGTATATTCACGATTATTAAAATGGCAGTTTCTTGTAGTAACAAATCGGCTAGGTTGTCAGCTGCATTAAACCATCAGTCTTTTCTGTTAAATATAACTTGGGATCTCCTCATTTTTACATTGGGTGTGTAGGGAGGAAGGTGATGACATGGTACAGGCTGGCTAATTTAGTTTTTATATTTAGTGAATGATTATTAATTATGTCAGAACCCCATAGCTAGGTGTTTTGAGCATTATACATATGTGTGATGCCTGTCTGTTTATTACTTGGATCTTTAGAATAGGTTGTGATGGAAAAAGGTTGGAACAGGAATGATACAAACTGGAAGGTCAGATTAGGTATCGGAAACTGACTGTCTGCTGACTTGGTTTTTCCTGTCTTATATTTAATAGAATCATCACAGTTTATATTAATGTGATATCTGGCAGGTTTTCACAAATTGTGCCATTTTAGTTTGCAGTTTGAGTAAGCTGAAATCAGCAGTTCAGTTCAGGGTATTTGGATGGGATTTTTTATCACATTGTATGGTGCAAATTGGAATACTAACAGAAATGAGTCTTTCAAAGCAAAAAGTAAGCCAAATTAAGTACAATTTTCACTGTCACTGCTACAGATGAAAATATAAAACTGTTATGAAATTAGGCATGGTCTGGTATAAGATTCTGACAGTATAATAACCTTGGATTAAAAATACGGTTTCACAGTATTGTGATTACTGCTCTGAAATATGCTCTATTTAAATGTCTGAGTAAAAACAAAAACTTTTTTTCACTTTGAACACATATTTTATTTTGAGAAACATTCAAAATATTTCGAAGCAGTAAAGATGTCAGGCTAAATCATTCAAATGACTCATTGACTTCTGCTGTCTTCATTTGTTTTAAAAACACATTTTTTTTTTTACAATTTAAGCAGCATTTTTATATATCTTTTCTGCTGTTCTAGGTACCGTTGTCCCAAAAAATTTGTAAAAATCTTTCATGGATCAGAAGAACTGTATTACAGTAAATTTTGACGGTTTTAAAACTTTGACTTTTCCAAATCTTTATATAATTTATGCAAATTTAAAATTCAAACATCACATCATCAGTATTAATAATAAATGCAGCACAGATACTTAAATGAACAGTGTTTTTCAAATGTTCAAGTAGGTCTAACAGTAGTATTTAGATTAATCTATTAAGATTTAAAATAACACTGCATTGTAATATACATACATATATATATATATATATATATATATATATATATATATATATATATATATATATATATATATATAAAATAACCATACAAATTGTTCAGTCAAGAGCCAGCTAGGGATTTTTCCGTTTTATTACATAATTAACTATAATGACAAATGAACAGCGGAAGGTGTAATAGTCTACTGTATCCAGTGCAAAGCTTGGATCCAACATAATGATGCACATCCAATCTTTGTTTGCCAAGATAGGCAGTTTGAAACTAAATGTGTGTATTTGTTCTTTTATGTATGATACAAATTCAGCACTTGCAGGTACTTGCAAATTGGACTGATTCTAGTTGCGAATATCAAATTTCAGGGTGTCCGTTGAGTCTTAAAAAGTATTAAAAGTTAATAAATCAATTATGGGAAAATCAAGGCCCTTAAAAGGTATCAAAAAGTTTCAATCGCATTTTTGTGAGGCCTTAAATTTTGTACAAGCGTTGTCCAAAGTGTGCGACTCTAAAAAAGCAGAAATCTTTTTATTTTTCTCAATCCACGCGATTGTTTGCTTGGCATGTCTGGCCAAAGGTTAAAGGTTTGATACTAATTAGATCTTTAAGTGGTGATGAGGTCTTAAAATATTCTGAGATGGTCTTTAAAAAAATCTTTAAAAAGTATTGAAATTACCTTTAGGATTTCTGCAAATACCCTGAATTTCACATATTTCTCTATTTTTAAACTAATTCAATGTATTAAATTGACAAAATTGGATTTGTGTTATTTGCTGAATGGACTACTGGCAGTTCTGTAAAATTTCATGAAGACCTGTTCATCATGTATTTTTTTTTTTTTGTCAAGCCCCAACATTTTGTGCAGGGTTGGCACTATTTTAGAGTACTGTTTGCTGATGCAGATTGTTCTTTGGGGAGTCTTTGCTCTAAACCCATCTGCTTTCTGTCCCTAGACCTTGGACTTTAAGCCATAGCAAACATACCCTTTTAAAATAGACCATTGACAGTGGCCAGGCCCACACTGCTATTTGTAAGGCCCATGTGATGGGCTCTATGTCATGGAAGGCTTGAGTCGGGTTGAGACACAGCCTGCTTGTCATCTAATCTAAATTTGTAAGACAGAGTCATTGTGGTGTTCTGTCCGGTCTTAAAGGAATAGTTCTTTCAACAATTAAAATCCTGCACATTTTTTATTCAATGTTATGAAAGAGGCCCTGAAAAGAAGTTGAAAAAAATGGTAAAAGTGGTCCATATGTCTTGTCCATATTTCATTTACACAAAATTGTGAGTAATGGGTTATTTAATCAGTTATTTACTAACATTTTTTTTATTGCTCTCGTTAGCTTGTATATCCTCAGAAGTAAGTTGTGTCTGGTTTATGAATGACTCATTCTGTTGTTCTTTTCAGTCTTTGGTTTGAATGACCCATTTATAAGTTGCTGATCTAATCTTATTTTTGAGACATCTTGAAAACTTTTCATTAATTTTAACTACACTACATTATGTTAGAGATGTGAAAAGATTAAATATATTTGAACAAAATTCTAATATAAGATTATTGCTTATATTCAGCAAGAATGCATCAAACTACAATTAGCCATAAAGACTTTTATAAAGTTGCCAAGTTTCTCTTTCTGAGAAATATTTGTAGTCTCTATTCTTAATGGGTATGTGTGCACACAGACTTTTAATTTTAGTCAGTTTGCCACAGGGCTTCCAGGTAATTGTCATCCCATACAAAATCGCCATATTCAATATATAAAAAAAAAAAACAGCAATACCCACTTCCTGGCTGAGATACAATAAAAAGTGGATATCAGACCAAACAAGAAGCACTGCAATAAATTAATAAATTATATTTTTTTGTGCGAATTCTATACCCCAGTCTTTTCAATGGAATTTCTGCGCTAGCCTGCTGCTAATTATAGTGTCTGCGTTTAAACATTCTTTCATGTTTTTTTACGGTTCAGCAATCAAATAGATGCTTAAGTCTATTTAACTGAATGTGTTGTAATTACAACATCGATGCTGTAAAAGGAACCATATGAAATTGAAAATAGTCACATAAAGCTTTCACCTGAAGTTCATCATTGGCTGAAAAGCACTAGCTGTGCATATAGCCCATTCCCCAAAGAGAAGCCAAAAGAAAAAAATATGCACAAAGCCTTTAGTTAAAATATGACAGTAATTAGCTATATTTTCATCCAAAAATGCTAATTAAATTTATGTGCAAAACTGGAATATCGCATAAAAGATCCAATGAGTCATAGCGAACAAAAACGCCACTTTCTGATTATCTGGCACCAAATATCAACAGTAAAAACAAAATTTGCTGTGGTAGGAGAAGCTGCGTGAATCTTTTCTTCATTTAATTAATGGCTTACGCCTAAGGCAATCCTGACATGCAGTGAACGCGTTGTGAGATGTGGAGTATAGACACTCTTGATTCTGGAGGTAAATAACACTAATACTGAAAAGGTTACGGCGTTTAAAAATTACCAAAACAACCTTTCAGATGTTTTACAGTGCTTAGCCTGCTGGTTGGACGACTTTTTTTTTTTGATGCACATACTGGAATTTGTTTGGTAAAAGTGTTTCCATTGTAGTTTATGCGCATCTTTTCTTATCAAATAAATAGTTTATCCTACTAAATGATGCGCATATGTTTTTTATGCACATATTTAAAATGTATGCGCATCTTGCATTTTCACCAACTGTTTTTTTTTTTTCTGCGTATATCCAAAATGTGCATAAAAATAGCTGGATGGAGCAGCTTATGTCATTCACCCCAAAGGGATTCGCTCATGGAAATATGTCTGACAATCAGTCTAATATTCCATATTTATCCAAATACTTGAGATATTTAGCAAAATAACAGCTGACTGCTTTGTCAATTTACTTGAATTATTTATATGACTTCAGTTTTTGTTCTCGCCCTCTGATTCGTTGCTGAATAGACAATCTTTGTGCTCTCTTCAACCAACACCAATTTTACATGCTGAATCGTGCCAACTCGCGTGGCACGATTCAGCATGAGGTGAAGTGTGGAACACAATAGGGTTACACGATACTGGAATTCGATACCAAACGTACAGAATTTTTAAAAACATCCATTTCCCGCTAACAATTGAGCACTAATGAGCACATTTTTAAACAGCGTTTTAAGGCTGCGATTCATCAATGCTTGCTTGTATATCAGCTTATAGACAAGCCAGCTGATTGACGTAACTTTGAAACACTCCAGTTTCTCTGTATCTGTGGTTACACTCTGTAAACAGCAGTAAGCGGTGAACGGATGACCTTCACGGCCAATCACAGTCATTTCTTTTGAGCATGTGAACACAACGGCAAAACAGAATGTGCTCAGTAGCTCTCAAATGTTAGCGGGAAATGCACGTTTTTAAAACCATAGTATTGATTGGTACTGAGTTCCAGTATCGTGACAACAGAACACACCACACCAAATAGCCTGACCTACTAACGACCCGATGCGTCCCATCAACCGACTGCCCACTTGGTGTGTCTCGGCCTTAAGACCATTTTCTGAGAGATCATGCAACTTTAAAACCTCTGACTGAGTATTGTCTCAACCATGGCCTAAATTGCTAATGAGGAAATAAAATTGGGTGCAACCTTTAACATATTGGGGACAATGCCTCGCCCTTCTCACCCATCAACAAGCCTGATTTTTTAACAAGCTGGAACTTGTGAGAGTTCTCTGCTCCAGGACTGACTGAAGGTTATGGAGGCCTTCACACAGTGCTCATGCTGCTGATTTAGGGTTATTTTACTCCTTTGAGACACCGTACAATAAGATCACACAGAAAGGATAGGAGCAGATCCAAGATCAGCAACTGTGCCCTCAGGCGCTTTGTTTGTTAGCGCCCTGATGTGCGTCCGGTAGCATTAGCCAGTCATCATTCGCAGCCTCCTCTGCTCTCAGTGCCGCACAAATGCTGAGACAGGCTACTTTAGCTGCTTGCTCATGCAAACAGCGTTTAGACACCCTCAATAAAAGTGGTTTTGCTCACTGACTCCGGGTGGCTCTGCATATTGTGCTGAGTACAAACAGACCAAAGTGAGTAATGAAGCTGGGAGAGCTGCTGAGACTGCTGAACAATTTTTCCGACGTTTATTGTTATGTTTTGAAGAGAAAGGTTTAATAAGCTACACTCTTCCACATCCATTTTCATCTCGTTATTGACGACATAAGCGCTCTCGCAGTCGCAGATGCCACGCCATTTAAAATTGTCTCTGCTTTTTCTGTTACTCCCGTCAAGATGCCCAAATGCATGAATATCTTTGTCCGCACGAGAGAGGTCTTGATCTCGTAGTTTTCTTATTAGCGTTCCACTGACCAAAAAGTACGTTGCTGTTTTTATGAAAACCAACTTCACTTTTTCTTACTAGAGAGGTTCATGTGTGTTTTATGCAACTTACCATTCTAAAAGTCTGGCATCTATAAGACTTGCAATTTTTAAGGTCCCATAGGGCTGCACGATATTGGAAAAATATGACATTGCAATATTTTATTATGCTGTTATATATATATTGTGATATGCATATTTTTTTCACCAGATGATTTGAATAGCTATGTTTGGAAAGATTTCATTATTCAAATCCACTGGGATGATCGGGGTTTTTTTATGCATTGCATATGCATAAATATAATAAATTACAAGCAAAAATAAATACATAGTGCTGTATGTGAAAGTATTCAAGAACAGAAATTGAACAATCAAATGTAAAATAACAATAAATAATTTTTTAAAATCTGATTTTATAATATCTTTATCTTTTAATCTTTAATAAATAATCTAATCCTGTGATATAACTATTGAAGATATGCACATTATGATGTTGATGCGATTATATTGTTTAGCCCTATCCAATATGTTCAAGGCTCAAAATAACAGTAATAATGGTAATTATTATAATGGTTAAATATCATTGCAAAAAAAAAACATGCTTTCTATTTTTTATTATATATATATATATATATATATATATATATATATATATATATATATATATATATATATATAAATAGAAAGCATGTTTTTTTTGCAATGATATTTAACCATTATTATAATTACCATTATTACCTTAATTTTCAACCGTCTTTGTTCATTTTACTGCAATAGTTTGCTGCACGGTATAATTTCTTATTATTGTAATCAAAATTAAAAATAGTTGTGCTGCTTGCTATTATTTGTGAAAACTGTTTACTTTTTAGTTTTTTTTTATGAATAGAAAAATCAAAATAATAATAAATATTTTGATATTCGATATATTGATATAGAAATGCATCTTGTGACATTTATAAATGTCTTTACTGTCACTTTGTTGAGAGTCCTTGTTATATTTATGTGTGACAGAACCAAAATTGTTCAGTGTACCTGTGCTACTGTGCAATACAAATATGGTATACAGTGATCCCTCGCTATAATGTGGTTCACTTTTTGGGGCGTTTGCTGATTTTTTTCGTGCAATTTGACATGCTGTTTTTCTACAGTGCATTGTGTTCTGCATCCTGATTAGTGCATTGTGTTCTGCGTCCTGACTCCCTGCCCTGTCTCCTATACTCTACAGAATGCATTCAGCTTGCCAAATTTACATAAATATTCAATCGCTAGCAGTGTGACTCTGAAGTACTGTATTGTATGTTTGCAAGTTTTCTCCCCACAGTGTAGACGATAGGATAGTTCTGCATGGTCTAAGTCACCTGTGGTAGCACCCAAAAGGCAGGGGAAGATGCTAACTTATCACACAAAAAGTTGAATTTTTGGACATGTTAAAGGAATGTAGAAGTTACACGGCTGTCGGGTGCCGTTACGGAATAAATAAATGAGGATCATTTTAAAATACTGGACTTATTTTTCTACAAAGGTTTGAACTTTGAGAGTGTTTAAACATGAGAAAAAGTGTAGAAATGTTAATGCCTGTCTGAGAAAAGTGTATAAAGTGTGTATTAAAGGTTTACATCCTTAAAACATCTATAATAATAAAAAAATACTAAATAAATCTGACTACTTTGCGGACTTCGCCTATTGCGGGGTTTTTTTGGAACGCATAAATGGCCAAACTTTTGTGGCTATATATGTCTACAGAGGCCTGCCATTTTCTGTTGAATCCATAGGTTGTACTTTTTGTGTCTCAAAAGGGAGGCCCATCATTTTGAAGCAAGCTGCAGCAAATATTGCGTGTTATTTAGGACCAATAGAATGCTGTGGTTGGTAGGCTCATTATGATCTTTCTGTTTTATGAATTCTCTGTTCTGCAGAGCCTTCAGGAAGTCCTGCGAAGGATAATTTCAGGATGAACCGCTACAAGAACAAAGCACTTAACCTGGAGGAGATGCGTCGGAGAAGAGAGGAGGAAGGCATTCAGCTGAGGAAACAGAAACGAGAGCAACAGGTGACTCCATAATAGACCCCATTTTATTTAGTACATTAGTACAAAACTTTTTAACCGTAATGTACAATCTAGACCAAACTGTGTCAAATATCCAATCCGCACCTAAAGAAATCACTTGAGTCCCACCATCCTTTTTTTTTCTTCACATTGACTGTCCTGTTTTACTCCACATCACACTACTTAAGTTTAATGGGTTGTGAATGCTACTCATGTTAACTTTAACTCTCATGTCAATTGATGTAATTTGCACCATTGATTCTCCCTATTTTTCTTGGCAGCTGTTTAAGAGAAGAAATGTGGAGCTGCTGGGTGAAGAAGGGGGAATGTTTGACAGTCCTCTCATGGATTCCTACGTCTCCTCCACCACAGCCCCAGTGAGTTCAAACCCAAATACTTTATCCCATTATTTCACTTACAGGCAGAGGTAACTCTGGGACTGTTGTTAGTAGAGCATTATGACCCTTTAATTCAATAAGGACTATTGATTTGAGCATCTCAGAGGTGCAAACCTGGGCTGAAAACAAATTATAGTCATTGATCTAGACTGAGTTTGCCCTATGTGTTTTTAGGATGGAGTAATTACAAGAGACATGGTTGAAATGCTCTTCTCAGAAGACCCGGAACTACAGCTGGTCACGACACAGAGGTTCAGAAAATTACTTTCCAAAGGTATTTGACACAAACACTTGGTTGAAATCAGCTGGAAACATGCATGAATTTTAATGAATGCATCTTTGTGCTGTACAGAACCAAATCCACCTATTGATGAAGTGATAAGCACACCAGGAGTTGTTAATAGGTTTGTTGAGTTCCTTCAGAAGAGTACAAATTGCACATTACAGGTGAGATTTGATTAAATAAGACCAAGCTAGTTTTTGCCATTCCAAAGTCAGATCTTTAAACATGTTCTTTTGTTTGTTTCTCCACAGTTCGAGGCCGCCTGGGCACTGACCAACATTGCATCTGGAACATCTCAGCAGACAAAGTTTGTGATCGAGGCTGGTGCCGTGCCTGTCTTTATTGAGCTTCTCAACTCAGATTTTGAAGATGTTCAAGAGCAGGTACAGGTTATAAATTGGCAAGAGATATAGGCCCTGATGTACTCGCAGCGATAGTCCTTGAAATTATTTTTATAGGAGTTAAAATTAAATTTAAAATTCCATTAGAGTGTAAGGGGTGTTTAGGCAAAGACCATAAAATACACAAGATGTATCACTCGTGTAGTTTTGAATGGGGAAAAGTGTTATGTTCAATATAGTAAATTAAGCCCCGCCTATGAATACAGGAGCCAATCATCGATTGCTATAGACTGATGTTTCTCTGGGGGAGGGGCTCGGTACAGACATGTGCTTTTACAACAATTTTTTTGTGGTCAACAAATGCTCTGGAATCTCAGTGTGAATATCTTCTTCACAGACATAAGAAATATGCACACATAAAGCTTGAAAACTTTTAAATGAACCAAGTGCACTTGAAAACAAAGGTTTTTTGGTTTTGTAATCTGTATGAAATGAACGCAAGGGACAGTCCATCCTGTCAAACGCACATCACATCACATGACAGCAGCAAATACTCAAACTCCCACAAACTTGTAAACAAAGAGTCGCTGTCATTTCTAGAGTAGATTAGCCATCAAGACCAAGTTGTGAATTACTTCTAAAGACAAGGTAGTGATTTTGGTGATTCCAAATATGTAATGTAATCGTAAGCTTTGCTAACAGTTTTGACGAATTTGATTTCCCTATTCAGATAGAATGCCTGAGCATACTGCCTGAAAGGCGTTTCAAAGATGGCGGCCAAGTGAAATGGCTTGCCTTAAAGGCGCTTTGGTTTAGGGAATATGTCGATTTATGCAAAATATCCCACAACACAGTGAAAAATCAATGAGAAAATGCCAGTTAGTAAACACCTGTTTTTATTGATGTGGATGTCTTTAAACCAACTCTGTGACCTGGCTCTCCAGTCAAGTCATGTTTATTTTTTTATTCAGGGGTCTGCATCATTTTTATTAGGTCCTTTCCTTAAAGGAGAACCTGGGGATATTGCTTAGTCATCACACTGTTCCAAGCACAGCCATCCTGTCATCTTCTCATTTAATGGCATTTTTGCAATAGTTTAAATACATGTTGCATATCTGTGTTCATTTGTTACAATTTTTTTAATCTAAACAAACCTCTAAATCAAACATATTTTTAATGTGTGATTTGCACATTTTCTCAGATCTCAGATTTCTTTATGTGGGACCATGTGATCAGTTTGTTCACATTTGGCTGGATAGCCTGGCTCAAGCCTGGTTTATACTCGATGTGTCCGCTAGTTTGCTTGAGTGTGCACGGCAAATGTGACATTATCCCCATGTTCGCTGGGTTTGCTTTGTGTGCGTGCAACATAATTTAAGCTGGCTTAGCGCACTTTTTTTTTTTAACTTGAGCAAACAGTTCACGCAGTGCTTTGTTTGATTTGAGTTGAAAATGAAACTCTGACTGTACAGACATCTTATGATCTTTCCATGCATGATCATAGAGAAAACCAGATGTCCAAGATAACAAAAAAATGTGCAGTCAGCGGAGGTTCGCGATGCTGTAGTACAAATCAGTCCGATTGTGTTGTGCATCCGGGTTTCAGTTATGTGTACCTCCTAGTTCATAAAATATATTGATGTTAAAGTTTACAATATTAAACACGAAAAAGCAATATCAGCCTTAGTCTCTGAAAAGTTTTCTTGACAACATTTTCTACTTGAAAATGATCTTTATTTGGTTTGATTTTATTCCAAATTACATCACACAGTTTATTTGATATCACTTGATGTATATTGGGGCCTAAAATTACCTTGTTTGTTTGATTGTGTGCTAAACGAGCGTGAATCTCATGTGGATATTTTAATGAATCTTTGTGTCACAGGCTGTTTGGGCTTTAGGGAACATTGCGGGAGACAGTGCTGTGTGCAGAGATTATGTGCTAAACTGTAATATCCTCCCACCTCTACTAGTGTGAGTGCTTCATTTCATCATTTTTTTTTCTATTTACATCAAATTTGACTATAATGCGAAATTAACATTATCTACAGGAGAAGCATTTTTGCTGAAAAAAAGGATTGATTGTTTCCTTAATGATATTTCTTTTCCCCAGGCTGCTGACCAAATCAACTCGACTAACAATGACTAGGAATGCTGTGTGGGCCTTGTCCAACCTGTGCAGAGGCAAAAGTCCACCCCCCGACTTTGAGAAGGTCTGCGCCACTTTTTTGTCTTTTCTCTTATTTTTTATTATTGTCAAGAAGGCACTTGACACTTTAGGTAACGTAGCTAGAACCTTCCATTTATACTTTCATTATAGAAACATTGTTTGATTGCAAAGCCATGACACCATATAATCATGCATTTTTGATTGTTGGTGGTTTTCCCTGTTTGGATAAGTAATTTTTCATGTGCAAAGAAAGCTTTGTTTCTGGCTTTTATATGGAGTTATTTGGAGTATTGTGTGTTTGTGTGTGAGAGAGAGACTTTTGCACACTTCTCTTCATATATCTGAAAAATAATTAAATAAAAGCATCTCAGCTTTCAGAACATGGTAAACATATTATGTGTTTACGCTTACGCACTCTAATTTGCTTTTTTACTCTAAAGAACTCCATAAAATAAAACCCAGAAACATTTTTGCCGCTATCTAAAGGGAGGATTAATGGTGCCAACTGATGATCCACAGTAAAAATTACAATCAAAAATGCATGATTGTTTGGTGTCAAGGCTTTGCAATCAAAAAATGTCATTGTAATGAAAGTCATTGAGGCAAAAACAGCCAATAACAGAACGAAAGTGTAGTCAATTTGAACAATAAACAAGAGTTAAACATAACAAGCCACTGTTTTGATTAAATTTTTTATATTTATTGCAAACATTTTATTTGTTAATTTATATTTAAATAGAGTGATTTATCTGTACACTATTGTTTGGGATCAGTAAGATTTTGAATTATTTTATTCAACATTTATTCAATACTGGCTAGTCATATGTTTCCTTTTGGCTAGGTTGTCATTGTAAATGAGAACTGGTTTTCAATTGACTTGCCTGGTTAAATAAAGTTTTTTTTTTTTTTATTATGAGACTTAAAGACAAAATTATTATTATTTTTTTTAAGAGTTAGAAAAATCCTCTTTTTTCTTTCTGTTTCTATTAAATTAGGAACAACATATTTATAGTTCCCAAAAAAATCATAGCAACAGTTTATAATTTTTTGCCATGTTTTCACTTCTTTCACAGACTTCATAAATGAAAACGGTCTTTTTCCCTTGTAGGTGTCTCCATGCCTGCCTGTTCTGTCCCGTCTTTTGTTCAGCAGTGATTCAGACCTGCTGGCTGATGCCTGTTGGGCTCTCTCCTATCTCTCTGATGGGCCCAATGAGAAGATCCAGGCAGTAATTGATTCAGGGGTCTGCCGGAGGCTTGTAGAGCTTCTCATGTGAGTCAGCTGTTTTACCACATTGCCATTTCTGTGTGAAACTTCACTTTTGATGGCATAAATTACCCAGAAATTAACATTGGCATTCCCTCACCTTTCACTTGTTGCTTGACTGTAGTGTTCTATTGTTTATAGAAATACAGGGTGATTCAAAAAGAATACCACAACTTTACATTTCCAACATTATTTTTGTCATTGCAATTATACATTAAAATTATTGTCTCCACAAAAAGTCTGACTACAGCCAGTGCTAGGTGTTTTTTATTTTATTTTAAGCATCTTAAAGATGTTACTAAAGTTCTTCTGGATTTTGTTTGTCTCTGTTTGTTCTGTTTTTTCGTCATTCCAGACTGGATGGATGATCAGATCAGATCTCAGTGTGGAGCATTGGCTGTTGTCAGACTCCTTGTGCAGACAATAATTTCACTGTAAAATTACAATAAATGACAAAAATAATGTTGGAAATGTAAATTGATATTTCAAACTGGCATGCTACAGAAAAATAAAGAAGTACCTGACTTTAATCCTTTTTGGATGAAAAAAACTAGTGGTCTCAGACTTTTGCACAATACTGTATTTCAAAGTGAAACTGAATATTCAGAAGGACAAAATTCAGAAGGATTAAAAGTTCAGTCTAGATTAAATCCACTAGATTACATTCTATTTTAAAGGTCCCATGAAAAAAAATGGTGTTCGTTTCGTTCTGTTAGTTTTAGGGATAACTATTAGCTAGTGTGGTCAAAAATGGTGACAAAATTCGCGTTTATAAAATAAAAAAACTTGTACAAACTAGAGTTGGGTGATAAAATCAGTATCGATATTTATTGACTAAACACTATTTTCAATAACGATAACAAAAAACATTCTGTATGAGGTGCGATAGTTTTATTAAAATATGGCTGCTTCACACTTCCGTCAGAGCTGCAGCAATGGTTTGTCATCCTCTGAAAAAACTCTTGATAGTTACCTAGTTACATGAGATACCATAGACGATAAAGGAAACCATGCACTTGCGCTGTTCACTTAAGGTCAGAATAACTACACATGCGAAAATGAGTGCCATATAGCAGCAGTGAGAACTTTTTTTTTTGCAATATCGACCAGCCGTAGTATAAACACCCAAAGCTTGCAGTTTGTAACTTCCACCTAAATGGATCAACCATTTTTTTCCCGCAACTCATACTTCAGTTTCTCATCAAATTTTGACCAATCAAATGCTCTCTAGTATCTGACATCATATCCCCTTCAAGACGCTTGTCATTTGCTGTTCATTTGATGTGCTTAACTCTGCCAGTGAGAGTGGTTGAGATTGATTAAAAACTAAGCTATTAGCTGTTTTTTAAAGGGAAGGAACTACTCTGTCTCACACTCTCTTTGTTTTTTAGTTGCGATTACTTGAAACATCAAATAAAAAATGCACGTTTTAAAGCACTTTACGGGGCATTTAAAAAATTTTTTATAGTGTCTAAAATGTTGAGACAGAGGTTTAAATCGTTTCTTAATTTATTTTGTAGGCACTCTGATTACAAGGTGGCTTCTCCTTCTCTGAGGGCTGTTGGAAACATTGTTACAGGAGATGACATTCAGACCCAGGTTTGTTTGTGTACGAGGGAGCGGACGTTTGTCAGACTTCTTCTGTGATTATCTCTAATTTCAGACAGGTGATGTACGGTCTCCTCTTCATCTTTTTCTCTCTAGGTGGTGTTGAACTGCTCCGCTCTGCCGTGCCTCCTGCACCTGCTTAGTAGCGCCAAGGAATCCATCAGGAAGGAGGCCTGCTGGACCATCTCCAACATCACAGCAGGCAACAGAGCACAGATTCAGGTACTGAATGACACACACACACACACACACTGCACATCTCTACCCAGAGCTTCACTCGCAGGGCTTCGTTTGTTTGTCATGTTACGGCTGCACCCTCAGACCTTCAAAGGAGTCAGCTTGTTTGTAGTGTCTATGTGGGGTTTATTTTTGGATTTGAGGATAACTTTGATTCTTTGTTCTTTTTGTTTTTTTTTTACATCTTCGTCTGCAGGCCGTAATAGATGCAAACATCTTTCCGGTATTGATAGAAATCCTGCAGAAGGCAGAATTCCGCACCAGGAAGGAAGCAGCGTGGGCGATCACTAATGCCACGTCAGGTGGCACGCCCGAGCAGATCAGGTGAGTGTTTGAGGGTGTGTGCATTCAAATACCAAGTCTTAAGCATATTAAGCATTCAGACGTCCAGAAGGTTGGTGCCAAGACTGGCATAATATTTGCCATCACTCACTTTGATAATCAGGTCAATGACATGACACTCATTTTTGTGAGACCAGCCTGACCAAAAAAGCAGATCAAATAGCAAGACTGAAAGTGATATCAAATAGAGGATCTTTGCAAAGCTTGTCTATTGTGGCAAGGTTAAAGCGTTTTTATTAATACAAAAACATAATTGATCCATTTCAGGGTAAGCATCTCACCACCTAAACATCCCCCAAAAAAGATGAACACATATTGGCATCTTATACATACATGATATGTATTTATTTAATTTGTTTTGACAACTAAGATTGTGTCGGTGAAACTAGGGCTAGTATGACTGCACTTCTATTTTGTTATTTTGCGATATGTATAGACTCTCCAGATGGCTTGAATATGTCTATTTAGAAAGACTATAATTTTAGATTGATTGGGATGATTTTGTAGGCGAGTGCATCTGCATATAATCAAACAACCTACAAACACCAATCAATACAATAAAGAAAAATAGTCATTCAAATAAAAGGTTTTAGTGTTTTTTCGAGTCGAATGGTCTTATTCGATAAAATTAAATAAATTTAGCATCATTAAAATTACAAATAGTACAATTTCTTATCCCCGAATGCTTTTAAAATCATTATGCAGTCATAGGCTTCAAAAACACATGCAAATTATAATACAAACTCAACATTGCATTTACTGCGATCTGACATTTGATATATATATTGTGCAGCCCTAATGGGGATGTAAAGTTATTAATAAAGAAAAATATAATAAAACAAAAAACATGTAGAATTTACCAAATAATGTAAATTTGAATATGAAACTCGTATGGTAAGATTTCTTTGATTAGCTTTTGTAAAACCCAAAAACAGCTTTTGCAAAATAATTTCTCAGCCTTTTTTATTTTTAATTTGGCTTTTTTAAATGTATTTTCTACTTTATGTAAGTGCACTCTGGTTGTTGTAATTAATAATTCTTTATTATAAAACTTTACAGAAAATGTAAATATGACCTTTTTTATCAGTAGTGTGCAGCTCTCATGGTTACACTATATGAGAATATTTGTTAAATAGTAAAAACATTTCTCAAAGCATTGAAACCAAATTAGCCACCAAGAGTACATTTTTAACAATGTAAAGATATTTCAAATGAATAAAAAAAAAATGTTAGGTCAACTTTCTTTTTTGTCATTGACCCAATTGAGAGCCTTTAATTTTCATATTATCCATCATAAGATGTCTGTCAGATTGCCTCCTCTTCCTGGTCAATTTGCCACAATGTTTGATTTTTTTTCAGTCTGATTTGACCTCGGAAACCATTTCTCAAGATGAAAAGTTTTAAGCTTAGCATGGGAGCTCATTTAAAGTGCTTCTACTTTTTTTTCTGCACATGTCTGACCGACTTAAGTCTTCTCAGATGGCCATTAGCATGGCACAGCATTAGTGCTAATCTTGGAGATGCAGACTTGATCACCAGGGAGGGCTTGTGATGTGTTTATCCAGATTGAATTCCAGTGTGCTTTTCATGCTCTCCAGTGAGATCACACAATCTGGAAGTAGCAGTATGTTTACCGTGTTTATTACTGTTCAGACTTAAAGCAGATGGCTTCAGTTTTGATCAAAAATACACTTACAGCATTTTCCCACAGCCATTACAGGGCTATCAACTAATATTGTGTACTTGCAATTTATAGTATTTTCACTAACCCCCCCTGTTGCCTAGGGACGGGTTTTGTTGATGTTTTTAATGGTATTACTACTTTTATCGATACCACTTATCAGTTCAGTACTTTAACAGCACTCTTATCTGTACTTTTTGTAGTTTTTTTTTTCCTTAATAAGCATAGTTTACTATTAGTAATCTATTCGTAATTGCAGTGATGTAAAAGCATTTTTAATGTTTAATGATTTTTAATGATTTATTTAGGTTACTGCAGAAAAGATACTATTTCAATGTAACCGAATGTGTTTTTATTAGACTCTTAATTTTATACTAATTTAGAGAGATAGCAGAGCTGCACGATTCTGGCTAAAATGAGAATCCCGATTGTTTTTTTTGCCTAAAATAAAATCACGATTTATGCTTACGATCTGTAATTTTCTACTTAAAATCTGTCACTGATGTTATTTTCGTGAATACAGAATACTGCGTGGGTATTTTTGCTAATCGGCGGGTTTTGGATACTTTTTGGGCAGGAATCAGTTAACTACATCTGGCAACACTGTGTGCGCTTTCGGTTTCATTTTTACTGCTAAGAGCGATTCACTTCCCACGCGGCTCCCAAACGATCACTCTGTGCCACAAACTGAATGTTATTTACCACTTTATTACCTGGTATTCACAGCCTGTGCAGGTTCTGTTCACTAAAATAGACTTCATTCAGAGGCGCGCGCGCCCGCCCAATAGCTGACGGTCAGCTCGCGTCTCGTGTGATTTTGCGGTCGCAATAACATTACTTGAAGACAGAAATTACATTTTTGAGGTGAATTATATCTCATAAATACAGCATGTGACTCTTTCAACACCATTTGGAGGTGTACACGTTGCTGAACAACGTATGTAAAACAGTGTGAAGACTTGTGCGGCCACCATTGCTTCTCTCCTGAACTTGAAAATATGATTGACAGAATCGTAGAAATGCTGGATTAAGATCGTCTAGGAGGTCGAATCGAGATCGAATTGAGATTCCAAGTGTTGTCAGAACAATGTATACCTTGTAAATACAATTAGAGGACATTTTGGATTGGATGACTCTTGTTTTTAACGTGTTACATTTGTTTATGAATGAACTTTGTGTTTAATGTGTGTAAAAAATGGTTCATGTTTTCCGCTACATTCATTCTTCCATGACAGGGCGCCACACCAAAATCTCAATATGGCTACATTACAGCTTCTCATTTAAAACATTCAGTCATTGTTTTTTTAATCGCGGGTTATAATCACAAAAACGTATTAAAAGGTGAGTTATAACAGTGTGAACTTTTCTGTAATCGTAGTAGTGCCAACACACTAAATTGCACTTCAGCAGCATTTATTTGAGAGCGCACAAGAAAATCTGTGCTTGAGCAGCGTATATTTGAGGGGGTGCAAGAAGTTTTGTGCGTGAACAGAGGAAGTCGGCGCACAAGCAAAGAGATTTGCATGCTCGTATTACATTAATGCAATCTCGACTTGTAATACTGCGCTCACGACATTTGTCATTAAAATAATGGCATGGGTAGTTGGTAGATCTCTTTAAGGCCTGCCGCCACAGCTGGAAAAAATCCTAGAGGAAACACTGTAGTTGGTGCTCTAAGTTATAACATGGCTCACTAGAATTCTTGATTCTGGTTGGCTAATCACGATGTCCCAAGTTGTGTTCTTACGAGATAACAACTGAATACTAATAACACATTGTATGTTTTTTTAATCTGTATTGTAATAATTATTTATCAGTAATCTATTGTTGTAGGGCAAATGTAAGCAGCACCCAACACCGTTTTGTTTATTTAAAGAGCTAGTCGTTTATTACAGCTCACGTCAATGTTTTTAAATAATAGCTCATTTATTTTTGCTCTTTAATTAGCAGGATAATGTACATCTAGCTGGATGTTTTTGCAGAATAAATCCCTTCTGTCTTATACAACAAGCATGTCATTCTGCCAAAACAACCAGCAGAATGTACATTAGCCCTTACTTAGTAACTGCTAGTATCAGCTAGTATGTATCAGCTTGTATCAACTTGTATGTCTGTTGTAAGGGAAAATTCACCACAAATATATAAATATACTTGTCATTTACTCTCCCTCTAATGGTTTAAAAAAATATATGTATGTATTAAAATTGTTTGTAACCAGTAGCTATTAACATCCCTTGAAAGGAAAAAAACAAAGAGAAGGCAATGGCTACTGATTTGCGACATGCTTCAAAATGTCCGTTTTCATCAGATGAAGGAAACAAGTTTGGAACCATTTAACTAAGTACAAAGCAAGTAAATGATTGGCCAAACAAAAACTCTTTTTAAAGTATTAGCATCATAATGAAATCAATCTTTCTTCAGGGTTGTTTAATGTTAAATCAATGAAAACCTGGAACCAGCTGCTGGCATGATGTTGTCATCGTTCTTTTGCTGTCCTTGAGTCAAGGCATTTTCTTCTGTTTCATGTATAAATCTGCTTTTCACGCAGTGATTTGATGAGCACTGCTTGCCAAATATAAATTCCCATTTTGTGATGTTATTTGCACTGAGGGAAATTAAATGATGATGTTTTTTTTTATTAGGAAATAAGCACTGACGGACAAATATTGTCCCGGTCTGACTGATGCATGTCTGGTTTAACAAATTAGTTCATTTCACAAATTACACAAAGTCGCAGAGGGCAAACGCATGAAATTCTCTTCCAAAAATAAATCTGCTGTTGGATTTTAAGTACAGCGTTCCAAGTACAACATTACTTGGATTGGCATTTCTTATTGAAGAATACTGAATGAGCTGGCAAACATTCATTCTGGTAATGCCTCATCTGTTCCTTTTTTTTGTAGGTATCTGGTGAATTTGGGCTGCATTAAACCTCTCTGTGATCTGTTGACTGTGATGGACTCTAAGATCGTGCTGGTGGCTTTGAACGGTCTGGAGAATATTCTAAGACTAGGCGAGCAGGAGGCCAAACAGAACGGCAGTGGACTCAACCCTTACTGTAGTCTCATAGAGGAAGCCTACGGTAATACTTTGAACACTTTATTTATTTATTTATAACTGTTCTGCATCAGCTTGTTTTGATCCAATTACCAGTGCTATTTTTTTTATTTATTATTTTTTAATTTTTTATTTAAAGTCTTTTTTTATTTTATTTTATAAATGTCATTAATATTGATCCTTTTTCTTGTGGTCTTGATGATCAGTCTTTTGTGTTAAACAATCTACTAATGCTGGGTTGACACCAAACGTAGAATTAAATTTACTCAAGTTAAAGTCAATAGCTGTTTCCATCCACATATTTTTATGTGAATTTTGGATATGCTCATAAAAACGGTTGATGGAAACATCCTAATTTGTTTACATCTCTTAGTGTTAGTGTTAGTATTACCATAACCGTCTTCATTTCAGACCGTGCTGGGAGTGGAAACTGATATTTATATTTGACGTGGTGGGTGGTGTTGATAATCCAGGTAAAGTACTAAAACAGTATTCTAACAGAAGTCATTACTGTTGACACACAATCACAAATGACTGGTGAAGTGAGCTCATTTAGTAAAGATAATGCCCAATTTTATATCATGGTTTCATTATTATTTCACATACCAATACTAAATGTACTACTTTATTATAGAGACAAATATCACATAATAAATAAGGTCATTTAGCAACAAAAGTAATTCTAGAAAAAAATGCCTGTTTGCTTAGCTTTATTAAAAGTACACATTTATTTAGGAGTAAAATCAAATTAAAGTGAACGTGTGTGTGCACAACATCTCAAACCCAGCTCGTAGGAAATATTAATACAAATGTTAAATAACTTTGTTTGATTTAATGTTGTAAAATGTAATTTAATTGCAGTGATAGGAAAGCTGAGTGCTCAAAAGTCTTCAATATTGTAAAAATATTATTTTTACAATAACAATGTATTATTTTAGGATTTAATAAATAAAATTTACTGGCACAGCAATTATTCGCAATTAACAGACATTTTCAAGTTGAATATAAGTTTGCTTTCTGTTTCTCTGTTTGTCAGGTTTGGACAAAATCGAGTTCCTTCAGAGTCACGAAAATCAGGAGATCTATCAGAAAGCCTTTGACCTCATCGAGCATTACTTTGGAGTGGAGGAGGAGGATGCTAATCTGGTTCCACAGGTGGACGAGAATCAGCAGCAGTTCCTTTTCCCCCAGCAGGAGGCCCCGATGGAAGGCTTCCAGCTATAACCAGCCTTCTGACTCTTTCCGGCCGCCCACTGACCTTTACACCCTTCCCTGCACCCCATACCCGGTACTAAAAACATGCATCGGAAACACTCAGAGCGCAGACACGGACATCTGGGTGAACTAAATTAATCGACCCCTGACCCAGACTGATTCATGTAGTTCTGTTTAATACAGGGGAAACATATCCACTATCCCGTCACACCCAAGAGAAAGCTCAATTTTAGTTTCCTTCATTGTTTTTTTTCCCCGTCTCAATGATGCAGCTAAATAATCATCCCCTCAGGTAGAAATCGTGACGCTGTGTCATTTTTTTTTTCTTCTAATAAGGAGAGGTTTGCTTGAGTTTTCACTGAAAGATGAGAGAATTGTTTGCTCATCTATTCACAATCAGAAAATTCCAGACTTTCATCGGATGTTGCGTCATAGGATTACTTGCTTTTTCTTCATTATTCATGATATATTCATTAAATAAGGTGTTTGATAAGGCCATGCTTCATAGGAAAAACATCAGCAGATAAAAGGGTTATTTCAAGCCAAACTGAAAAATCTGTCATTTACTTCTGCTCCTTATTCACTTTTGTATAACAAATGAAGTATTTAATGGAATCTGACAGATTTTTGAGTGTGTATTCTTCCAGGATGCTTCAAAACCTTCATAAAGTGGTTCATAAACCAAATCGATATGTATAAACTTAGTCTTCTGAAGAGATTTAAAGGGATAGTTCACTCAAAAATGACAATGCAGTCATCATTTACTCGCACTCGAGTCAAACTATTAGAGGAGTTTCTTTCTTTTGTTAAACATTAAGGATATTTTAAAGAGCACTGTAAACCTGTAACCATTGACTTCCATAGTATTTGTTTTTCCTACTATGGAATAGTAGTAAAGGTGATCAACTTTCTTCAAAATGATCTTCTTTTACATTCAACAGAAGAAACTTCTAAAGGGTTGAACCCACTTGAGGTTGACTAATTACATTTTTAGATGAACTATCCATTTAGTTTAGGCTTTATTCATATAATCAGTGTCAAAAAAAGCTCAAATCAATCAAAAAAGGTCTCATTTGCATGGCTGATCAGTATCAATATGTAAATAAGAGTATAATACACGTTAGCCATGTAAAGTCTTAACATTGCTACAAAAGATGCGCGTTTGCTCGCAAATTATTTCAGTAATTTATCAAAAACAAATTTTTTGATATCTTTATGAACATTTTGAAGCATCAAGACATTTTATGCGAATGGAGGGATAAAAAGTGGTCAGATTTTTTTTTTTTTAAATCTTCATTTGCATTAGGGTTGTCACAATACTGGAATTCAGTTCCAATCGATACTGAAGTTTTAACAAATGTCCATTTCCCGCTGACATTTAAGCAATACTGAGCAGGTTCCTAAATGGCACTGATTTGCCTTGTTCATATGCTCAACAGAAATGCCTGTAATTAGCTGTGAAGCTCATCAGTTCACCCAATTCACCGCTGTTTACCAAGCATAACCACAGATATAGGGACACTGGAGTGTTTTAAAGTCACGCCGATCAGCTGGTTTGTCTATAAGCTGACATACGAGCGATCCGCTGATGAATCGCTGCTTTAAAACACTTCAGTGTCCCTATATCTTTGGTTACACTCAGTAAACAGCGAGTGAGTTTGGTGAACTGATAAGCTTCACGGCCAATCACAGTCATTTCTGTTGAGCACTTGAACACAACGGCAAATCAGAGCTGTATAAGAATGTGCTCAGTAGCATGTAAATGTCAGCGGGAAATGGATGTTTTTAAAGTTTCAGTATCGATTGGTATTGTATTCCAGTATCATGCAACCCTAATTTGCATTCTGAATGTTGAGTAGATTATGACGATTTTCTTATTGGAATGAACAAACTCTTCAAAGGATATCTAGAGTTGTTTCACCTCTCTTAGTGTTAGTATTAGTATTACCATAACCGTCTTCATTTCAGACCGTGCTGGGAGTGGAAACTGATATTTATATTTGACGTGGTGGGTGGTGTTGATAATCCAGGTAAAGTACTAAAACAGTATCCTAACATAAGTCATTACTGTTGACACACAATCACAAATGACTGGTGAAGTGAGCTCATTTAGTAAAGATAATGCCCAGTTTTTCTTTTCCCCCGATTTTTATTTATTTTTTTACCAGTCAGAGGTGACATATCTAGTTGTAGGATGTTCGTGGTGTGCAGTGTTATCAAAATCTTTTTATTTGAAAGGCTTTAACTTTGAAATGCGATCAAGGGGAATAAGCACATATCTGAGGGCCAGGTTGATGCACTTGACGGAGTCTTAATTTTGCTGTTTAGTTTTTCCATTATTAATTGAAGCACCGGGTGGTTCTGATAGTTTTCGTTTAGTTTTTTCTCGTGCAGCCCTCAGTATGTGCATGTTGGGGTTTTGCATGGTGTTCTTTTGGTACCAACCATCCTTTTGTATCCCTTGCCAGATCTTCAGTTAACAATTAGCCTGCGCTCAATAGTTTGAAGTAGTTACGTTTTCTGTTGGTATGGCAAGGAATATGTATTTAAATAATGAAATATATGGGCGATTTAAAAAAAAAAAAATATATATATATATATAAATATAGATATTGTTATATTTGCACACACTTTGCACACATTCATACAAAACCAGCATACACTTCATTAGCATGCACACAAACTAAGTTAAAAAACCAAGGGGAAAATGACTTCCATAATCTCTGTTCCTTATGTACGTTCATGACTTGTTCTGGCACTTTTTAAGTTGACGCACTAAAAGCTTCAACAACAAACACACACTCGAGTTTGTTGACTGCTGTGGATTTCAGATTGAGGGTATGAAAAGTTTGAATATTAACCTCACGCTCTTCGAAACGTACTGTGGTTTACTTTGGAACTGTGAGTGATCGTTTCAAGTCATTATGGAAGCATTTTTCCTCTACCTCCATAACACACTGACCGAAGGGTGCTTCTCCGAGTGAATGTGCGAGGGTTATTTGATTTAGGACGGGCCGGTAAACGTAGTAAGACAACGACTGACGGATGATGTAGGGAAACGATGCAAAGCTTAAATCTCTGTCTAGCATCCGTTTTTAACAGAGCAGCATCCTGTGTTTGGTAGATTGGTGTTTTGGTTGACTGATATCTAGAATATTTTTCCTTCTATAAATGTCAATCCGATACGATTCCCGACAAACCGAATGGAGGTTTCCATGCTTAAAGGGATAGTTCAGCCGAAAATGAAAATTCTGTCATCGTTTGGTTGAATTTTTCTGTTGAACACAAAGAACGATATGATGAAAAAAACAGCCGTTGACTTTTTCTGTATGTTCTTATTATTGATGTCAGTTGCTGCTTTTTTTCACCAGCATTCTTCCGAATATATTGTTTTGTGTTCAACAGAAAAAGATTTAAAACTACTCTAGTAAATGCCGAGGAAATCTTCACTTTGGGGTGAACTATTTCTTTTAGAACTTGAGTTGAACTCTTCAAAAATACCTCTGATGTGCTTTGACATTAGTATTCAAGTTGAATTTCATACTGTGTGACATTTGCAGGATTAAGAATGCTGCATTTCAGATATTTCCGGAGAATATGTTGGAAAAGGAGGGGAAAGCTATGCTTATACAATATATATCTAATGGTCTACAAGACCACCAGGTGGATTCGTACGTCAATCAAAAAGAAAAGAAATAATCTCTTAATGGAAATGCACTCCTATTCACAAAAGTGCCAATCAGACCAACAAAGACAAGAGGCTGATGCGTATCAATCTGTCTTTGAATTATTATTTTTTTCCTTGTTTGTTTACTTGAATGTGCACACATTTTGTGCAAAACAATTGCTGCTCTGTTTTCTTATCTTACAAATTAGAGGTTACATTGTCCGCCAGCGTTCGTGATGGTCTATTTGTACACCAAATTGGTAAACTCAAAGGTATAAAAGATTCAAATCCATCATTTATTGTGCTGGATTGATAATACTTTTAACCAAGGCCAATGTTGAAATACTGTCTCAGTTTGTACTGTTTGCTTAGCTTGAGTTCATTTTGGACATCGTTGTTTTTGGCGTAGAGGATTCTAACGATTGAAGGAGAGAAACTATTTTCTTGAGTGTTTTGTTTATGAGCTCAATTTAGCTGACCATGTAGACCCAAGCTTTGTTGTTTCGAGTCCCAACTTTTCCTCCTGTAACCAAACCAATTGTAGCACAGCGAATCCAAATCAGTTTAGGCCTCTTTTTGCAGACATTCTGTTCTCATTTAAGAACATTGCTTTTTAAAAAAAGAAAAAAGAAAACAAACAAATCTGAGTGTCATACGATCTGTGTATCTTGCATTTAAAGCAGAAATTTGAACGGTTATATTGTTATATTGGCACAATTTAAAAAGTTGCAGTCTTGGCACTGTTCTTTACTCCTTAACTTCTGAGAAGTGCAGAAAACAATAAAGAAATATTTAAGAAAAGGCCACAAATAAGTGAAATTGGGTCTTTATGGTCTTCCGTCCTAGATCTTGTAGATGTTGACATTTTTGAGACTTTTTGTCTCTACTTTCGAACCTGGAGCCGACGCATATGGCTGTGTCTAGTAATGCTGACTCACCTGTGTTTACAATGCTACATGTTTGTTGAGTACTTTTCATATACAATATTAAGACTTGCCCAGGTGGATATTTTGTCCTGGTTCGGTAATTTCTTCTTTTCTTTTAAATGTATTTATATTTAAATCTTTTTTTTTTTTCCTTCTCTGCATAGAATTGCCCGTACTGTGACTGACTTGACTTTACCGACGATATGAATGAGTGACGGACACACAAACTGAACATGTCACACAAACATATACATGAACAATTCTGAACAAATGTTTAAGATTTTTTTTTTGGTCCAGATACAAAATAAAATGATAAAACAAAAAGCTCATGGTTGTTGTCGGTGAGTGATGAACGGGGATTAAAGGGATAGTTTAGCCAAAAATGAAAATTCCATCATTTATTCACACACTGGTTTCCAACACTATTAAATATTCTTTAATTCGCAAGGAAGATGCACTGAATATTTTTGAGAGAGAAAAAGACATTCATTTCCAATTTAAATATTTTTGATGTTAATAGCTGTTTCCCCCAACATTCTTCAGACTATCTTGTTTTGTGTTGAGAGGACGAAGGAAAATTTAACCACTTGAGTGTGTGTAAATGAGGAACGTTTTATATTTGGGGGAACTATTCCTTTAACACAACAAAAAACATGCCACTTCCATGGAGAAATGTATTTAAGAGAGTTAATATTGCTTTAAATATTCCTAATTTCCTATTTACTTTCAGTTTCCTTTCATAAATATGGATTTGCAATAACCTGAATGAAGTGCAGATACAAAGTAAAATTCAGTGGTAAAATACAGAACAAAACGAGAAAGATATTTGTTGACCACCTTGGATGTTGGTTGAACAATTCTATCATCATTTATTCACACTCTTGTTTCCAACACTATTAAATATTCTTTAATCCATAAGGAATATATACTGAAGAATGCTTGAGAGAGAAAACGCCATTGATTTCCATATGAACAAAAAAAAAATAAAATTACAATGGAGGTCAATAGCCATTTCCCCAACATTCTTCACAAAATCTTGTTTTGTGTTTGGTGGAAGAAAGGAATTGAACTACTTGAGTGTGAGTAAATGAGGACGTTCTTATTTGGGAGAATTTGTCCTTTAACAGGACAATAAACATGCCACTTCCACAGAGAAATGTGATTTAGGATAACTATTATTTCTTTAAATATTCCTCATTTCCTATATACTTTCAGTTTCCTTTTATAAATATGTATTTGTGATAACCTGCATGAAGTGCAGAAACAGTAAATTTGCGGTGGTAAAATACAGAACAAAAAGAGCGATTAATATTTCTTGACAACCTAGGAGTTTGGTTGGACAAGTCTTTGTCTGCAAGCTTGAACTTCTTAAAAGTTGGTTTTGTATATAGTGAAATGTTGCTAACATGTTTTAGCATAGCTTTAGCATTTTTTTGTAGTTTTTTTTACCACTTTTCTAACATGAAGGGTGTAAAGTCTTGCCTTTCTAAAACATTCCATAAAACTAGTTTCTCTTAAAATATAATGTGTAGCGTATATATTAGTCCAGTGTTTCTCAACCATGTCCTTGAAGGAGCACCAGCACTGCATGTTTTGGATGTCTTTTTTGTCTGCCACGCCCATTACAGATGAGATGATGATTGAGATGATGATGTAAATCAGGTGTGTTTGGTTAAGGAGACATGAAAATGTGAAAGCTGGTGCTTCTCCAGGAACGTGGTTGAGAAACACCGCATTAGTCAATTGTTGTTTTGTTACACAAGTTTCTGCCATTTTTCATAATTTAAAAAAAAAATCTACTGAAATATTACAAAACAAAATTCATTTCAAAACCATAAAGACATTGAATGATTTATTATCTAAATATTTGCTCATAAGTTATTTCTCTTTACACACAATAATTATAAAAATACAGGAATAGCTTCATTTCACAAACAAACAAATCAATCTGCATACATTTTGAGTTGATGAGTCTTTTCCTTCAAAAATCACATCATATAAATATCAAATGCAGGACTCCAATCTACAGAAGTGTACAATGAACTTGAGCTGTCAAATACTAGAATAGAAATCCTGCATAGTATCTGATCTTTCATTTAAGTTCAGAACTTCAAACTCATTCCCTGTAAGAATTCCAACAAAAGGATAGTGTAAACAGAAGATACCCAAAATTCAACCTTTCATTTTCCTCAAGTAGATTCTGAGCTTGCGTTTCAGTTCTTTGTTCATGAGGTTCTTTCCCCCCAGATCCTTCAGCACAGCCAGCACCATGTTCTTTACTCTCTGTTCTCGTTTCTTCATGTTCCTCATGTGTCTCTCCAGAATCTCCACTCTAGCCAAGGCTTCCACGAGTTTGGTCTTTAGTCCTGGCAGATCTGCAGGTAATGCATATGAGTGATCCTATAAAGAAAGATGGATGACAGTGTTAGCTTTGACCATTTGAAACACACATTTAAGGTATTTTAGATGAAATTGAAGAGCTCCCTCATCTTCCACACATACAGCAGGTGTACCCAAATCTGTTCCTGGAGATCTACCTTCCTGCAGAGTTTAGCTGCTACCTTGATCAAACACATCTTTGTTTAATTATCAAGTGCTCCTTCAGATCCCACTAAGGCCCTGTCTACACGAACATGGGTATTTACAAAACAGCACTTTTGCTGTTTGTCCACACGAAAACTGAGAATCGGTTAAGTGAAACTGAAACTTTCTGAAAAGCTTTGACAAGGGTGCAGATTTTCCAAAGCTCTGGGTACATGGTGACACAACAACTGGAGAGTTCATCACATGACGTCAGCATGTGCGCTGCTTTTTCCTTTCTGATTAGCCAACACGGTTTGGTTCCTCATGTTCACAGCAAACGTATCATGTATTCTGCATTGTTCACACTGAGACAGTAATCCGACTCTGTTCTTACGTTTGCATTGACTTTTATGCAATTTACACACGAAAATTTCCCATTTGGTGTGAACTGAGCATAAGTGTCATTATCTCCACTTGTTGGTTCAGTGTGCCCTTAACATGCATCACAGTACTTTTTTTGCATTTTCGTGTGGATGGAAGTTTTTAAAAAAAAAACAATACTTACCTTAGTTGTGGTTTATTTGCAGCTGAACTCTGCAGGAAGTTTGATCTCCAGGAACAGGGTTGAGCACGCCTGATATACAGCAATGGTCCTGAAATGCTCAAAGTCCAGACAAAGGAACTGAAAACAGTAGCCCCTTTCACACATACAGACCTTTCCGGAAAATTGCCGGAAAGGTTGTATGTGTGAACAGGTCCTTTTTGAAAATACCGGTAAATTCGTTCTGGCTATTTTCCGGAAAGAGAAGTTGTAACATTACCGGCAATTTGCCGGAATGCTGCGCTATGTGAATGCAGAAGGAAGATTCCCGTAATAAGCGTGTGCACGTCTAGAACGTGCTGACGTGAGACGTCTGCTTTAGCCAATCACAACAGTCAGACGCATTTACGTCTGCGCGGTTTGTGAGGATAAAAGCCTTTGAATACTTTTCCAGACACATTTAGCTGCTAGAAGTTAGTCAGATCCCGTTTATATGTTCTTCTTAATGCCACCTGTGTAAATAATCATCGATGAGATGCTTATGATAAGCCGTTGTTTGTTTACCTTCAAGCTTTGCGTGTGCCTGTGAAACAGCCTGTGAGCGCCTGCACACGCACATATTATGAACATCTCGACATGCGAAAGTGATCCTGCGAAAGTTGTTCACAATATTGATCATCCACAGAGTTTGTAATTTAGTCAAATGTTTACAAATACAAGCGCAGCCGTTTAAAGCTCATTTGTGGTGAATGATGGTAGAATTTACCGGTATTTTGGAATGGATGTGTGAATGCTCTTTTCCGGAAAATTTCCGTAACGTCCTCGCCTGTGTGAACAGCGCTTTTTTCAATATACCGGTAAAGTCGTTCCGGAAATTTTCCGGATATTTACCGGTATCACTGTGTGAAAGGGGCTAGTGACTATGTTTACATGGACATCAGTAATCAAATTATTTGGCTTAATCTGAATAAGACGATAATATTATTAAGGTGTTTACATGAGTTGCTTTTTGAATGTTCCTTTCATGATCCTGTTTTAGATGTTATAGCACATAATTCGATTAACATCATTGCGTCACCATAATATCCATATTTCCTCCAGAGTTTCATGTAATTTCAGGGTTTTGTTTTTTTTATTTGTCGACTTTAACTGCAGTTTGGCACTTTCACTTTCATTCAGGAACATTTCATATACCCACTGTGACAAACAAGATATTGGATGCGAGTATGAACTGCTGGAAGAGTGTTATTTTAATGGAGTTTGACACCACATGCCGAATGGGCAAAAAAATAAATGCATTTCGCGATGCAGGTGTCTTTGGTCCTTCTCTGACTTGGTAGGTGCAGAGAATTGTGTCAAATAGATTATATTGAAAGCTATAATATATTTATTATAAAAAGTTATATACTATATTTTCATAGTGTGTATATGGACTATCCTGTCGCAAAATGTGTGAAAATCCTACATGACGATGACGGTAATAGTTTGATTGCGGTGTTTACATGTCGTACTGCACTTCAATAAATTAGACTAAAATCAACATACACTTGTCTTAATTTGATTTCTGTTTAGTTCGATTATGACCTTAATCGGATTAAATTAGTAAAAAAATAATAAAATCGCTGTTTACATGCTCAACTCCTAATCAGATTATTTTCTTAATCACATTAAAATCAGATTGTGTCCATATAAACATACTCATTGTCAAAACTGTCCTACTAATCCAGTACTAATTGCATGAATATCCAAGAATACTTTTGTGTGGCAAAAGAAAAAAATTGCCCACATCTGATCAGGATATTTGTTTACTGTGTAAAAATAGTGCGCACAAGTGTTCTTGGAGCTTCATATGATTACAGTTGAACCCACAAAGTCGCATGGAATGTTTTAACAATGTTTTCAGTTCCTTTTCTGGACTTTGAACATCTTTAAACCTTTGCTGTAGGTGGAGGAGAAGAGAGCTCTCGCATTTTATCTAAAATATCCCATCTCATTTTGTGAATATGAATGAAAACCTCGGGGGTTTGGAACCGCACGAGTGTGAGTAACTAATAATTCTTGTGTGAACTAATCCTTTAACATGTTTTGAAGATTAATATCTTATTACTTCAAGTACATGAGGGTGATTTAGTGATGACACCCTTTTAAGTTAGGGGAACGAATGCTGGCAGATGTCTTGTATCTCTATTAAAGGAAATAATCAATAAATTGTAATTGCGCCACTAAATTCTCACCACATTTGGCAGAGGTTTAGTCTCTTGTTTCTGCGTAGTCTCTTTGTTCACTGCATAAAGCTCTTCAGCCTTTATTGAGGTTTGAGTTTTCCTGGCTGTCACGTGCTAAGGTGAAAGACAAAAAAAGGTACACGTCAAAATCAATTTTTGAAGTCAACATGGAGTGCACATGTACACAAGCCAAATGACTAGTTATTACATGCATATAATCTAGTGCAAGACCTACTTTTTGCATATGAGCTGGAAAACTGAAGACTGAGGGTTTAGCTCCATCTCTGACCCTGACAGTCTGACCTGTCCTGTCCAGGTCCTGTGGCCTGAAGTGTTCACTGCACAGCACTGAGGACTCACTGGCTGAAAAACCTTTCCTTTTTAAGGCGATTTCCCACTGCTTTCTCAACACGTTCTCTTTAGGAAACCTG